GTCTCCCAGACACAGCCCCACTCCCATACCAAAATCCCCTGAAGCTCAATTTGTGTACAACCAACATATATCCTCCCACAAACTTTAATTTAACGCTAGGTTGTATAATATCTCATACAATGTAAATAATTGTTAATACAATGTAAATGCTATGTAAATAGTTTCCAGCTCACAGCAAATTCAAGTTTTGCTTCATGGAACTTTCCAAAAATTTTTTTTTGAATATTTTTGATCCATAGTGTGTTGAATCCCAGGGTTCAAAACCTACAATATGGAGGGCTGACTGTATACATTTTACTTTTCCTTGTTTGACTTTTTTTAATGCCATGTATTAATTTTCCAGATATTAAATACAGATTACTTAGTGGACATTTTACATTTTATTAGTTAGCATCTGGCAAACAAAAGAAAAGAGAACTGAAATTGACATCTTATACAATGCTATATGTCAATTAAACGAGAAAACTAAACCAGAAAAAGAGATGTGTGTGAAACAGCTTTTGCAATAAAACTGTTTTCATACCCTGAAAAAAAAAACCTGAACAACTTCTTATATCTCTAACTAGAAATTCACAAAGAAAGGAAAGGAGGGTAAACCTTCATATAACCAAGGTTGCCTTTAAATCATGTCGTCTTTGATTCCTAATCTCATGTGTGGCTTGCTTGCAATTCTACACGCTCATTTTGAATCAGCCTATATCTATATAATTAAAATTTGGGGTCAGAATTGCCTGGATAATGTCAACTTTTCTCTTCCCCATTATATAAGGCATCAATCACCATTCTTCCCACCTCTCACTTTCCTCTCATCTAGTTAAATGTAGTGCCCACAATGAACTCAAGAAAAAGGTATCATTACTAGTGATGGTTGCAAGAATTAAAAAATTATATCCTCAAATGTAAACCTGCTTTTTGAAGCTTTTAAAAGATCACCTTAGCAGCCTCAAATTTAAAAAGAACCTATTAAAGTATTCATCCTGTTGCTATTGAGCTGCTCACTCGTATCTGACTCTTTGCAACCCCATGGACTGTAGCCCGCCACGCTATTCTGTCCATGGAATTCTCAAGGCAAGAATCCTAGGGTGGGTTGCCATTTTCTTCTCCAGGGGATCTTCCTGGACCAGGGATTGAATCAATGTCCCTTGCCTGGGCAGGCAGATTCTTTACCAATGATCTACCAGGACGTCCATATATAAAGACATGTCACAGTAATTTGTGGACACATTCAGGGAGAACTGCAGTCAGCAGAATATCTTCTTTCATTTTGTTTCATAGAAACCAACATATTCCTCCTTAAAAATTTCAGTCCCTGGTCTATTTGCAATGGCCTTCAGTCTACTTTATTTAACCTGACATGTGGTTTCTATATTTCTTGTAAGTTTTTCAAAGTTAATAACTTTTTCTAGTTTTGTAAAATGATGAGCCTTTATCAGGTAGGTCTATCTGCTTATACCACCTATTTAATCAGAAGAGACCAATTGAAACTCTATGATTCAGAAGCTCTTTTCCAAGCTGTTCCTGGCTTTACTCACCTGTGTCCTAGTGAATCCTGTTGCCTGAAAACCTTTGCAAACACAATGATTAGATAACTCAAATGATGTGCCCTTCACTGGCTTCAGGCACTAGAAGTATTGAACAACCTGCTTCTTTCTTTGCCTTTAAACCCCTCACCTTATCCCATCCTCCACTACCAGATCAGGCCAGATCTGTTATTTACTCAAAGAAACCCAGTGCTTGCTGGATAACACCCAAATGTCTAAAGTTAAAAGTATTTTACATCACTCTTCCCAGTTCCCATTCACTGAACTCTTACTTTGAGTCTCCACTCAAGACAAACAGATTTACTTGACAGGCCTCCAAATACGCTCAATATGGACTCGGCAAACTCACTTAGCTCGGCATCCATTTATCTAGGATATTCCTTCCTTCTTCACCTCTTTTCAACCTGCTTCTCTGCATACTAAAATTCCACCTTCCTTTAAGGCCAATGTCAAACGTGAGCTTTTTTACAAACCTGTTTCTGATTTGCTCAATAAGAATGACCCTCTCTTGGAGCATCTTTCTGATCCTCCAACATTCACAGTCAACCTTGTCTTATTGCTTAGTCACATAATCCATCCTCTTCTTAGATTCTAAGTTCCTGGAGGAACAACAGTTTATTCTTCTCTGTACAAACCAAAGTATTAATGTCATGTACTGTCTCTTTCACACAGGAGGGACTCAACCAAAACTTATTGAATAAATAAACAATGGAGGTGTAGACAAGCTATTATTTAGTTGAAAACTTTTACAAGAGATTCTGATTCCATTTTGGAGAAGCCTAGGTCAGTGTCTAAATTATCTTACTTGTAGATCTCTAAACAGGGTATGGATTTATATATGCAAGTGCCATACTAGCATTTCTTAAACAAAAAATAGAAAAAGTTTTTTTTACATTATTGTTTTCTTCAAAGAAGATAGAAATTGTTCAAGACATCAGATTTTTCACTTATTTTGAGGATCTTTGCAAAGAAAAAAGGTATTTTGAAGCAGTAAACATGATATAGCCATCTGTTTGGGTTTTCTCCCACCAACTCAGGTTAAGGGAAATCTTACCTCATATTGGCTAAACTGCTGGCATGACTTTTAAAGATAAAATGATTTGAGAAACTGAAAATGCAAAGCTGCCCATATTTTCACCACAGTGTGTACAGATTTTGAACAAACATAATTAATGATTCACTTTTAAAAATTCAGTAGAACACAGTTAACCTAAGTCTCAGAAAACATGTTTAATGTTCATATTATGAGAAAACCATGTTTATATCATACTTTAAAGATGTGAGTGGACATGAAGTAATTCATGGCTTATAGGAGCAGTCTTTTAACTTGCCTTTCTCCTTTTCATTCAATCCTTCAACATATTAATTAAAATGTCTATTAAATGCCCGGCAATATACTAGCACAGAAATACACAGTGAACTTATTAAGACAGAATCTGTGTATAAATTTTACTTATATATAGTCCTTTTTTACACAAAATGTAATAGTTTCTGGACTGAAGCCTTAAAACCAGTTCTTCTGCTTAGAGTTCATAAATTTTGCTAATAGCATCATTTCTCTCCCATGGTTTGAAGCCACAGAATTACCAAGGTCCTCAATATTTGTCACACTTTCAACTATATGCACTAAATTCAGTCTTTTTATACTTTAAGGCATTACAAAATATCTTGATTCTGCTTTGTGTTTTTATTTTTTTTAACACCAAAAACATTTTATATTGGGTTATAGCCAATTAACAATGTTGTTAATGTTTCAGGTGAATAGTGAAGGGACTCAGCCATACATATACATGTATCCATTCTCTCCCAAACACCCCTCCCATCCATGCTGACACATAACATTGAACAGAATTTCATGTGCTATACAGTACATTTTTATTGGTTATCCATTTTAAATATAGTAGTGTTTACATAACCTTCCCCAAATCCATAACTATCCCTTCCCCCCAGCTATCATGAGTTTGTTTTCTAAGTCTGTGAGTCTCTTTCTGTTTTGTCAGTAAGTTCATTTGTCTCATTTCTTTTTAGAGTCACATATAATCTTGGTTCTGCTTCTTAAGTTTATCACTTATCTAATCAAGGACTGGTGACTCTGACTTTTGAGGCAGTATACAAAACTGTCCCAACCTGCTTTTCATATCTTAACGTTTTTTTTTCAAACCTACACACCCAGCTTCATTCAAATTCGGTTATTTATTGTCTCAAAATACTCCACCAATTTTCTCTTCTGTATAGTATTTATTCAAGATATTCTTCCCCATGACCTACTCTTCTTTCCCTACACAATCACAGAAATTCTAACTTCCTTCAAGAAATACCTTAAATAATAATTTTTCTGTTAAGTCTTAAAGGAGTCTCACGTTTGAGCTTTTCATCTCTGGAAACCCGTATTCCATCATTTGTATTTTCTAAGGAACTCCCACATTCTGCTTCACCTTGTCTACTAGGTTACATGATCCTAAGGCAGAGGTACCTTTGTTTGCCAGTGCTTAGAGATGGTGCTTAAAACTTCTCCTTGATTATTGGTATTCCTGATTACAAATCTTCCTCTGAATCCTACATAACTTCTAAGTCTTTTACTGAAATATGATGAGTGACCAACCTGGTTTCCGTATCATCCAGAAGGCCAAAACCCAGTGAAGGAAAGGGACTCTCTCTGGTGCTTTAGTATGAGCCACCCACAGACCTTTCATCCTATCTGTGTATTTCATTTATTAATAATTTGCTTCTTTACTTACTCTTCCATTTTTATGTTTTTCTCTTTCTCCTACTGTCTCTACTGCTCCTTATTAGGCAAACAGTGATTTCTCTGGCATTTTGCTTACTTCTGCTAGTAGCACTCAAGGAATAAACTTTTCTGACTCCTGGGATATGCTATAAAAACTGATAATTGCATTTCTAGGCTATTGCTAATCTCTATACTAACCTCCAAAGTCTGTGGAGAAAAATAAAATGAAGAGAATTCAAACCGAATTTCAGTGTTCATTTTAAAAATTCTCAAATGAGTTGTCAGTCAACTTAGGTGGCATTAAAGGGGGAGGAAACAGCCAAATAACTAAAGCTAATAGAATGCATGTGTGTTCATGTATATATATATATCTCAATCTACTACATAAGTTAAAAGAAAATGATATACTTCTATAGCTTCCTTAAGCAGTTTTTCTTTATAATTCTGTTCCCTTTCATGGAGTCTTCCATATTACCAAAAATGAATGAAGGCTTGAGAAGAAAACAGAGATGAATCTATGCTGAAAATTATTATAAGTACATTTTTTTTTCCTGCAGAAAAGTTTTCCCAATAGCTGTACTTTTCTTAGGTTTTATTTATACCCATGACTTTTTGATAGAAGACAATGGCTTTCCCAATAAATGTCCCTTTTGAAATATGGAGTAAATTAAAAATAATAACTGCAGTGAAACTGTAGATTATTTAGAGTGAATGGGTAGAAAACCACTTACCGCCAGTTGCCACAGTGATTTCACGTAGGAAATGGCCATAAAATGGAAAATCGAAGGACAGATTCACTCTCTGCAAGGAACAACAACCAGAAAAGAAAATCAATAATGTGCATAACAGTAAATGTAAAATGAAGAGCCTTCTACCTAAAAAAAAAAACAAGCTTCTACTTTGCACCACTATTATTGTAGCTGACTTTTAGAATCTGAATCTTGGAAGGAAATAAAGAAATTTTACCCTCTGCTAATTAAATGTTGAAAATATGTGAAAAAAATAAAGTTGGGCTGTTATTATCTGTTAATCTGTTCTTCACTTCCAAAGGGAATCTGAAAGTTTCAGCTCTGAATCAAGCTATTCTCTTTAACATCACCACTACCTTTCAGTTGTCCACTACAAAGCAGGTCAACCATCATGACCAACAATTTATTTAGGGTTATTTTTTGTTTGATTAATCTTCTCCAAAATAGTAGAGCATGTTATCTGTTTAGTTTTACTGAATAAAAAGTAAAAATATTTTTATTTTAGGCAATTATATAGTCAACTTATCTTCTGTATAGAACAAAAGGCAGTTTTGTGGAACAAGATACTTTGCACCTACAGATCTAAACCTGCAGATATTTTTCTTTTTCAGATTGTGATAAACTCCCCTGATTCAGTATACAAATGACCCTTGAACATGGGTTTGAACTGTAGTGGTCAGTTCCACTTATAACATGTTTTTGTTGCTTTTTCTTTTTTTCTTCCCCAATAATATAGTATCTGTGTTTTCATTAGACAGATCTTTAAATTATTGAAGTGTTGAGAAAAGTTTGATTAGAGATCAAAGTATGAAATCAAAAGGACTAGGGTTTGAGTCCTGATTCTATCCTGCCCTTGGGTGAGTCATTCATTAATTCCTTTGTTTTTGAGACAGAGGTACCACTGTGTGGATTTTCAACTGGGTGAAGACTGGCAGCCCTAGCCCCAGTGTTGTTTGAGAGCAACCGCTTTATGTACACTTTTAAAGGCATGGGATACCAAGAATTTTAAAATGCTGGTTACTAGAAAGCTACTTTTACTTTGTAGAGAGGAAAACTGGAGAGGCCAAGGAATAAAGTTCACAAACTTTGCCCCTCTTTTTTTCTAAAAGAAGATCTGAAGCTTTGGAAATATATATAATATATCTTATTATTATATATTATACATACATATATATAGGAAGATAAAAAACAAGACACAAAAAGCAAAGAGAAAGAAATCGTAGATTTTTCATTTGTTTGAAATAATATGAATCAGATTTATTATTATTAGGAAGGAAATAAGGAAAAAACAGTGAACTATAACAAAGATGATCAACTGAAATAAAAAGATCCATAGGGAAATTAATTGGCTGATTTAGAGCCCAATAGAATGTACAAACCACCTATAATAAAAGGCTATTATGTTAAAATTCAACAATTTCAATATTATATCTCTCCCACCATACAAGTTAAAAAAATAGAGAAGTATAGCTAGATTGAATTTGGCTCTTTCCAATTGTGCAAATGACTGCTTTCTATATCCATCAGAGATTCCTAATGACTTATTTGGCATGATATTAATCATTTAAAATTTACAGTGACTTTCAATTAGCTTTTTTCCCTTTCCTTTCTAATGAAAGCTGCATCTTCAGAAGGGTTTGTCTTCATTTTGTTATTTTATGCTGACTAATGGGAACAACAAAACCTATTTTTATAGCACTGACTGAAATGAGTGGTTACTAATAACCCTAAAATAAAAGCTTCAGTGGCAAAATCATATATCTCAAAGAAGACATTTGACACAGTTTTATAAAGGCACTTGCTATAGTATATTGTTCTCCATCACTCTAATTTTTTCCATGCCATGGGCAAATTGGAAAATTTATAGTCCTTTGGCATTCTCACTTCCAGAATAAGAGTTTGGTTTAAACATCTATCACTAACAAACTATCAATTACTACCAAAGATGAACCATAAGAATATGACAATTTCTCAGCCACAACAAATATTTATATATTTTTAGAATCAAACTGAGATAAACAAATACATAAATTAAAGACTATTTTTGATAGTAAGTTCTCACAGACAAAATTGCTAATATATTATCCTGAAGCACAATATCAATGATTGAAATGTCTCCCTGTTTACTGTCTAAATGACCAGCTTACCTTAGTTATCACCATGGCCTGCTTTGCCCTAATATCAATGACAATTAATAAAGGTGTTACCTTCTCAATAGTTGTGAAATCTACCCTTTTCTCTCCAGGTACTACTGACACCCCTCCCTAAGTGTAGGACACTTTTATCTCAATAACTTGCTTACAGGTGTCTTGGTTCCATTTTCCTTGGAATTTTTTTCTCTATACTATCTAGAATATCACTCCCCAATCCAAATCTTTCAATCTAGAATCCCACTGACCCTGGAATCACACAAAAATAGTGAAAATGAGTTTTAAGACCCACCACTAATTGGTCTCAGCTATCTTATGGTTCTCCCTTCATGTTCTCTACACTGGCCAGCCTTCTAGAACAACTTTTACTTCCTTGAAACTGCCACCCTTAATCCTGGGCTCTGGTTCTTCAACATGATGCCTCTTTTGACTGTGATGATCTCTCAACCTTGGTTGGCCATGGATCCTATATTCTTCAACTCTTGGCCTAGTTTCCTTGGTACCCTAAACCTGACATAAGGACTTAGAGCAGATGGTTTGTTTGGAAGGTGATCCTAGGAAGCATGTGCTAAGGAAATGGGAAAAGTGAGACATGGAAAAGAGAAAAACCAGTAACAGTTACTGGATGCATTACCACTATAGCCAAGTCTCCCTTGGAGACCTTCTGGGAAAAGTAGGGAAAACATGACTCAGGATCATCTCATTGGAGGTTAGGAGGCTGGGATATTGATCCATCCACTCCGATCTCCTGTTGATCGACAGCAGGCAGATGATTCCCTCCCTCCCCAGGATTACTCTCAGGCAGAAAGAAGCGACACAGCACTTGAGTTGGGATGTTAGCTAGTATCCGAGAAACTGCCTCCCATAGTTTCAGTTTTCAGTGAGCTCAGGGAGGCAGAAGGGATGTGAGGCAAAGCATCAAGAGGGACCACAAAGTGTCACATCCTCAGAGTCCTACCGTTACTTCTTGCAAAGTTACACCTCCTACCGTATCTCACCACGCATTCTCTCTAAATGCATGTACACAGGAAACAATCACATGGGGTTCAGATTTTAACTGCCTCAAAGTGAAACTAACTCAACATCAGAGTGGTTAAGAATGGCCCAAAGTGTCAGTCGCTCAGTCATGTCAGACTCTTTGCAACCTCGTGGACTCTTCAGTCCGTCGGGCTCCTCTGTCCATGGAATTCTCCAGGCAAGAATAGTGGAGTGGGTAGCCATTTCCTTCTCCAGGGAAGAATGGCCCAAGAGGGACACCGAAACTTGAACCCAGATTTGAAAGACAACAAAGGCAATGCTCTTAATTACTGAAATATTGAAAGTGAAGTAATAAGGGGTATCACACTTAATGGAAAATTTCTGAAAATGATCATCCCTCTTTACAAAACATATAGACACAGACACACAGAGCAACACATCCACACAAGTTATTAAAACAAACAGAAATGATTAAGCGCTAGGATTTTATGGGACTCTTTGAAGCTAAATTATTATATATTCCATATAATTACCCCTGGGTAATTGGATCATTATTGCTTCCTTCCCTGGTAGCTCAGATAGTAAAGAATCTGCCTGCAATGCAGGAGACCCAGGTTTGATCACTGGGTTGGGAAGATCCCCTGGAGAAGGAAATGGCAACCCACTTTAGAATTCTTGCCTGGAGAAGTCCATGGACAGAGGAGCCTGATGGGCTACAGTGGCTACGGTTCCTGGGGTTGCAAAGAGTCAGACATGACTGAGAAACTTCTACTTTCACTTTCTTTTCATGGTATATAAAACTGGTATTTGGTGAAGCCAAAGGAGAGTTTTATTGATTCATTCATTCATTCATTCATGTAGTCAAAAATCATTGATTCAACACCTATCTATACCAGGCACTAAATCCAGGGCTGGGCCTCAAAGAGTAAGGCCCAACCAGTTTCTTCCTTCAAGGAGTTAAGAAGGTGATGCAGGAGAGCAATGTGGAAGAAGAAACTAATAGGACCAGGCAGGAGCAGAGTAAGGACCTGAAGAGGACACCTCACCCAGAGGAGATGCACTGAAGCTCTGCAAAGGGGATTACCAGACACAAGTCAGATGAGGCCTGAAGGCATGGGAGTGAAAACGACGGGTAAAAATATACGTAGGAAGTAAAACTGGAAGGATCATAATTAACTGGACATAAAGTTGGGCTTCCCAGGTGGCTCCAATGGTAAAGAATCTGCCTGCCAATGCAGGAGATATAGGAGACTCCAGTTCGATTCCTGGGTTGGGAAGATCCCCTGGAGAAACAAATGGCAACCTACTCCAGTATTCCTGCCTGGAAAATCTCATGGACAGTGGAGCCTGGAGGGCTATAGTCTGTGGGGTCACAAAGAGTCAGACACGACTGAGAACACACATACACAAAAGTTGGGAATGAGGGAGAGAAGTCTAGAATAAAGGACAGGTTTCTAGCTAGGTGACTAGTGGACCATAATCCACTAACTGAGATGATGAACAGGAAGAAGAGTTATTTTGGTTAGGTGTAAGAAGACCTGCTGTGTCACTAACTAATTACACATCCTTTAACCACATCATTAAAATTTTTTAGAACTTGACTATGCAACAAAAACTCTTCTGCAAACAGAAAGGTAAACAAAATCCTGGACATCAGAAAAAGCCACTGCAAACAAGAAGAAGCATAATATTGAAATTTACTTGATTTAATTGATGTACATGACACAAATGGTGAATATTTTCCTATTTTGGATCTCACCCCAGAAGAAATGTCTAAGGTGAAAGAAGAGCTTCACAGGTGGCTCAGTGGTAAAAAATCTGCCAGCCAATGCAGGAGACAGTTTCAATCCCTAGGTCAGGAAAATCCCCTGAAGGAGGAAAATGGCAACTTACTCTAGCATTCTTGCCTGGAGAATCCCATGGA